TTTTTGCATCGAGCTTTCCGCAGCAGAAGAGCGTGAAGGGAAAGTGAGTTGCAGCCAACATGCAACGTGCAACTAGTACTTGCTAGCAGTTGCTAGGACTAGAGAAGTATCCGTGGGCCGTCGATGCTTGCTTTGCATACATGCTCTTAGTACATGCACTCTTCACTCTTAGTACATGCACGACCGACGCCTGCCAACATCAACCACCAACCGACTCTCGTGGGGGGGCAAAAGTCCCCATACCAGCCCGTTGCTTGATTTCCACCACCTCCCATCAACCCCCCCCCCCCCCCCCCTCTCTCCCCGAAAGTGGCTGCCCTAAAAGCTGAGCTTGTGTTGTTGGCTAGCCATGGATTCCATTTCCAGAGAATCACCAACCCCGCCTGGGGGCAGCGCTCGCCCCAAGAACTCGCGCGATGTCCTCGCCCGATCGTCGTCATCGTCCATGAACAACAACAGTAATAACAGTGCCAACAACAACAACAACAACGGCAATAACAACACGCAGCCTTCTGCTAGCATGGCCTCTAGCTCCAGAGCGACGCGTGCGAATACGCCCACGGCCAGCCGCTCCGCCTCAAAACTGGTCGACGACGCCAAACAGCGGCCTGCCAGCAGAGACAGCCTCAAGGCCAAGATGCTGAAGAAAGACGAGATGCCTCAGCCAAGCAAATCAGAGACTGTGAGACTTCACAGAAGCCTGCACCCATGGAGCCTCGGGGACAAGTGACTAATGCCACACAGCAACTCAAGGCGCTGAAGACGGACTTTGACAGCCTCCGCTCACATCTCACGTGCAAAATATGTGACCGCCTGCTCTACCAGCCCTACACCATATCTTGTGGCCACACCTACTGCTACACTGTGAGAAGATAGAAAGTCGCCCGCTTGCGCCTGGCAACGACTAACATGACGTAGTGTCTCTGTACCTGGTTTGTTAGCAACAAGGCTCGCAAGACATGTCCCGACTGCCGCATCGTTGTCAAGGAACTACCCGCTCCCGCCTACGTGGTGAGTATAGTTTCCCCGTCCATCTCTCAATCAGCACAGCGCGCTGACATGTGACCAGATTCGAGAAATGACCGGCATCTTCATTGCCCGAGCCGAACTACTACCACCTGGAGAGACCATCGAAGAACACAAGAAATGGCAGAAAGACGAGACCGACGCCGTACAACTGGACAAGGACAATACCGACGCACGTGATGGCGGTCTGTTCAAGGGCTGCTTCAAACCGCACCCACTCCACGGACGAGGGCCGTCGCTCCAGGTCGTGCGAGATCAAGAAGACGGTGTGGACCGATGTCCAGTGTGCACGTGGGAACTTGAACATGGTGGGTGCACACAATGTGGGCTGATCTTTGACGAGACTGGCGAGGTCTCATGGGGCGATAGCTTCACGGGCTTCAGTGACATGGACGAAATGTCAGAACACGACACGGAAGGTCTCGATGCAATGGACATGTTGGAGGCTGGTTATGATGATGGCTACGACGAAGCCTACGACGAAGCCATGGACGGCTGGGGCGCATATCCTCCCGATCAGAACTCATTCATGATGCGTCGTTTCCTGGAAGGCGCCATGCCCGGAACTGCAGCCTTTGCACGACGAAGACCCATGACGCACAGCGAGGCAGGAAGCAGACACTCATATTCGCAGAGCGTCATGTCAGACATCTACGGCGACGAGATGGACACACTGCAAGAAGAGGACGAGGAAGAGGAGGAGGACTCCTCTATGAACGACTTTATTGATGATGATGAGGTCACAGCCTCCAGCTCAGCAAGTGCAGAATCGTCACCGCCTGGTCCAGCTCCTCAACCTTCCAGCCAACGGGCACGCACAACGAATAGGGCTCGTCGCGTAGTAGAGTCTGAAACTTCATCAACTATTTCCAGTGTTATAGAGGAGGAAGAAGAAGATGAAGAAGACCAAGGTCCAATCCGCAGAGGTCTTAGGAACGCCTCCCAAACACAAATTCTGAATAGAGCAAATGGTTCTAGATCATCACATGGAGCCTCATCAATGGCATCAACAGAAGCTTCTACCGAAGACCTCGACGAGGACGAGCAGTCTTTATTGCGGGAAGAGGGGTGGATGAGACAAAGGGACGATGATGAAATGGGTGAAGAGGATGAAGACGATAGTGATGGAGGAAGAACGACCGTTGGGTGGGAGCCGCTCGCGAATTCAAATGACAGAAGCCGAATGGGCGGTTCTCTAACACCTACTGCAGATCATCCTCGGCCTAGCGCCCCAATCCGCCCGCCTTCGCGTACCGGCAACGTTCGAGTAATCAATGCCTCGCGTGGTCTCCGACGGAGATCGTCCGTTCTCTCATCAGCAACTGCCAACTACGAAGATGGTGAGGCCGATGATGACGACTCCGACCAGGACGGCGACCTCGACATGGCTATGAATGCCCTTCGAACGCGCCGATCGCAAGCCCAATTGCGAAGTGCTGCTTTCCCAAATTCAGCTGCGCGCTTCACGAATGCGGGATCCGGACAGGCTGGCGCAGCGAACGAGCATGATACAGACGAGAACTCAGACAACTCACAGGCTGGCCGCCGCAGGCGAAACCCCCGTGCTCAGCATCGAGAGTATGACCCACGCATAAGCTGGATGTTTGCTGCTCACCAGCAAGCACTTCAACAGCACCACATGCAAGATGTCCTCATCGATGTTGAGTCACGGTCCATCACTCCGTTGGCTCGCCCTAGGACACGCAACCGCAATCGAACCAGTCCAGCACAGAATTTCTCACCCTTCATGGCCCCAGCCCGTCTACGTACCCCTCACATGGAAGACAATCAAGCTATCCGGCCAGGTTCGCGAGGACCTTTGTCCCCGCCCAGGCGAACCGCCATGTCTCCAGCCCAGTTTGCGGTAATATCTACTGGGAACCCTAGCAGATTTGACCGTGCACCGTCCGTAGGCTCGAACAGTAATACTTCGACGGCCTTGCCTTCCGGCGGTTCGGCAACACCCTCTCAACATTCTATTGATGACATAGCGCAAGTTCAAGCTTCCGCGGCCCTGGATATGATTGATCGCCCACAAAGCCGAGTTGGGGGCCCTCGTCCGCCATCTGCAAACAGTCGCCGTAACTCTGCCGGTTTCTCGCCCGTAAACGCGGCCTTTCCTCATGCTGCCATGGGCCTCCACGTCCAAGGATCAGCCCTGCCACCGTTCCAACCGCGTGGTGGAAATCCTTGGGCAGCATACGTTCAGGCACGCAATTTACGGAGTCGCCACTCGCGGCAGGTCCTTCGGGAACAGTCCTCTGTCGCTACTCTCAGGCCTGCAAGCTCCCGGCTCAACCTCCGAGACGCCGCCAACCCGCCTCAGAACATGCGACCACAAGTGTCACGCATGAACTTGCGCCCACAGCCATCTAGACGACAGCTTAATAATCAATCGTCGACACGAACACTGCGTGCGAGTGAGCATGCTAGGCCACCACCATCGCCAGCTCAGGAGGCCGAAACACAGAATCAACCCCCTCTTCGGCCCTTGCGACAAACCACACTGACCCCTGACGAACGAGACACACGGGCGCGTGAACTTGTCGAGACACGCAGACGCGCTATTGTACCACCCGTCAACGCACCAGCGCGTACCAACCCATTCACGCAAGGTTTCCAACGCCCTGGCAACCCCATCGCCTCTACGATTATTCAACAGCCTCCCACTAATCAGCACGTGCGAAGCAACTCGAATGAATCGATGCAGTCTGCCAATTCAGCAGGTACCACACAAGGCACATCAACATCTCCAGCACTAGGTCGACGAAGGAGCAACCGTAATCTGACGAATGCAACACCACATGGAGCTACACTACCGACGCAAGGACAGCAGTATGCACAACCGCCTGCCGCCTACACGAACAGCTATTTCCGCCAGCGACAGGGACAAATGGCCAACTCGCCGGGCGTATATGAGGGACCACTGAACAATAACACGAGGAATATGAATCCAATGATGGCGGGGCCGCTGATCTAAACGAAAAAAAGGCGGCTTCTGAAGCTGTGGTGTTTCTACTTTGATGGAAGCCTATGGACGGGCCAGGAGTGCTTTTGCACCCGAAATCGGGAGATTTCCAAGAGCGGCAAAGATTGTAATTTTCCCTTCTCCTTTGGGGGTTTTTTGAGATTTTTTTATGCATGGAGGGATTGTTGGGGGATCAACAGTGTGTCTGTAGGCCAGTCCTTTTTGGACCGTGGGCTTTTGCGAAGATGTGCATGGGTGAGGGAGGTTGTGAGTTTGAGCATGAGCATGAGCATGAGCATGAGCATGAGCATGGGATGCGGGTTTGATTTCCATCGGAGGACTCTTTTTTCTTGTATTTTTTTCTTTGGCTTTTTTCCCTCGTTGTCGGTTGGAGGTTTGGGGGAGTGAAGGGTGAGGAGCGAGGGAAGAGCAGGGGGAAGGAGGGTGAGGGGGTAGATGGGATGGTGTGGGTCTGCCACCAAGGCTTGTGTGAGGGGTTTTCTTTTATGAGATATGAAACATGATTATGCATTTTGCTTTTTTTTGGTTATTTTGGGGTTTTTGGGGGGGTTTCATTGGGGGAAGGGGGGCGTGTGTTGTGTAGGTCAGTATATGGTATCGTGTCGTGTTGTGTTGTGTTGTATATTGTGCTGTGATGAATGAGCGAGCATCGAATGGGCGCGGCATGGCGTAGGCATAGGTTTAGGCGGGGACAAATTCCAGGGCATTTTTTTTTTAGCTTTTTGGTCATCTTGTTTTATGTCTGTGTTTGTGTTTATGGATTTGAAGTGGCTTTACTTTTATCTTTTTCTGCTTCGTGTTTTTTGTTTTCGAGGTTTTGAGTTTACCAAGGGGAGGGGGAGGCTGTTTAGGGGACTCTTGGGTTTGAGGTTGGTTGGTGTGAGATTGGGGAGATGGGAGGTGAGAGGTGAGAGATGGACATGTTTGGACATGTTACTCCCCCTCTGTCATGCATACACAACACATGCAAATATAGACATGGCTCAGTCTATTAGACCATCAGGACTAATAGTACTCATATGCCCCTCCTCTTTCTCGTTTGACCCTCGTGATTTCTACACTCACACTCACACACACATACAGACGGAAAATACCAAGAGTGTGCACTATAGTACCATGTCGCATTCCAAGACTTCACCCTGTGCATACACCGTTTAGACAGCCACCAGGGCCTTGGACTAAGGGAGATCCTTACCTTGGGGTTGATGAAACAAGCGGCATGTAGATCTTCACCGAGAGAAGGACATGGATTGGAATGGACATGCACAGGTGTACAGAAAAGCAAATCCACCAACAGCAAGAAGCGTCGTGCAGATGCTTTCGTGCATTTACTATCTTCTCTACAAATCTCTCCTATTTCCATCGCGCCCTCCTTGCTGATCCATGTTCAATTTGACTCGGCTGAATATATTTCATCATGCAGATACCGAGTTGTGTCATGTAGCTCGCCTCTTCCCTCGCGCCTATAGCACATATACTCCGAAACACCCTTCCATGGCATTGATGAAGCCTCATCACGATGCCTGACAATTTGTCTCCAAAATTAGTGCTCGACATGGGCGTGACCCACGCTGCTCCTACTCCGTACATTGCTTTGTAGAATTGCGATGACGTGAAAGTTTAGTTGGCATCCGGACCCCAAGCCGAAAGCCGACAGATAAAGTAAGCATGCATCGAAGCGAATAGAAAATGAAAGCGTGGGCCGCACGGCACAAATGCCGAAACCCAGAAAGTCGACATGCGGCGTAAGCATGCGGAGAGCCGCCAACGTAAGATAATTTGAGGGTCGAGATCGGCATTCCGTCGCCTCGGAATGTCGCGCAGCCTCTTGGAGAATAATGAAACGGGTACAGCAAGGGGAGTTGTGCCAATGTCGCAGCCAACTATACATGCTGCCGTGCAATAAGGGCGAGGTAGTGCTGAAGTGAACGCTAATCGTACATGACAGATCTGGCGGCTCCATCTATCAAACAGATGATCCTGTTGGTGTGACCGTGATCAGCTACTACCGGGGTATTAGAGCGGGTACAACGGGATTCCCTACCGGAGATGTTGAAGCAAACTGGTGTCGTGACGGTTAATCCATGTAGAAATCGCCCTTTAAGATTCGCTCCTGCATGGCGTCCGGAACCTTGGGCTGCTTGGGCATCTCACGGACGGGCGGCTCCATGATGGCCACACTCTTGGCTCGCTGGTGGGAGACGCCGTGGGGGCCCATCAGGCCAGGGGAGGGACCGGACATGGAGCCTCGCTCAGCTCGGGTGCGTAGGTTCTCCGCGAAATTATAGCCTTCGCCTGTTGAAGACGATGTTAGCGAGTAGTCCTCAAAGATGACTTCAGGCTGCTCAGTGATGGTGGACGGCCAGAGGTATGAAATGGAGAGCGATCGCCGCGAAGTGCCAGAAGGGGAAAACGGATGCAAGAGTGATGATGCTGAGGGCAGAGAGTGCGATAATGAAGACAGACCTCGACCTCGACCAGTCGGGGGAGAGGATGCTTTATGGATGGAGGGTCTACCATTTGGGTTCCCAACGCTTCCACTGCCCTGCCTGACATCGCGCAGAGCACGAGCTCCAAAGCTCAAGCGACGGGCAAAGGGGGTTGCTGGGTTGCTGCTGGTGGCTGATGTGGAGGGGGCATAGTCGTCTTCGAATGGGCTCTCGTCGACGGAGCCGGAGTTGGCGCTAGAGATGCTCTCAGTGCGGGTCCGCGGGATCGTGAAGGGTGACGTTTGGCTGGGCGAAGCTGATAGGCCAATGGTGGTAAGGGAGAGTCGTCGCCGTTGCGCGTTGACGGCTGCAGAGGCAATGGGGCCAGAGTAGCCAGCCTGTTGGCCCACGTAGCTGTTGGAGCGGCCAAAGAGGTCTTGGAGGGTCTGGCCGGTGACCGAGGCACGCCGGCAGTCGGTGGCAGGCGGTGAGTGGAGAGGTGGTGAGTTGCTGCCGTTGGACATGTTGTGTATAGTGGGTAGGTAGCAGCGAGAAGAGTCAAAAGGCAAGGTGATTGTAGGATGATGATGCTGTGGTGGCGATGTTGTCAAATGTTGTGTGTTGAGTAGTCGTGTTCTTCTGGAAGATGTATCGAAACGTGTGTGTGAGTGTATGTGCGTGTGCGTGTGTGTGTGTGTGTGTGTATATATGGTGTTCAGGTGGGTTGGAAGAGAAGCAGAAGCGGGTGTAGGAAGGAAGAGGGGAAAGGCAGGATGTTTGATATGTACTGTGGCATCTGCTTGCGCACGGACACAAGATGATAGCAACCACCCCCCCGCTCTCTCTCTATCTTTCCCTCTCCTCTCTCGTCTGTCCGTCGGTCGATTCGATGATGGGGTGGTCGGGTTGCAGTACGTCAGCGGGGCAGGGATGGCGTGATTAGCGAGCCAGCGTCTCAGGGAAGTCGCGACGAGGGGGGGGGGAGGGCGTTGTGTAACAAGAGGCTAGAAGGAAAGGGCTACTATGTACAACAGCGTTATGTACCGGTAGAAGAAAGTAAGTTAAGTTAGGAAGGGGACACCCGTCGTTGGAAGGGGGGGGGGGGAGGAAGGAAGGAAGGGATGGGAGGTCAACAGTAATATGGAAGGCGCAGCGGGCATGTGCCAAAGCGTGCAGCTTCCTTCTTTGAATGGCAGGCTAGTGCCGTGACGGATCTTAGCGTGCCTTCCCCGCAATGTCCACCCCTACCCAACCCTCTACAAGTCCACCCACGCTAACTGTACAAGGAATAGCGGCCTACTTTAACTGTTGTGGAAGGAACAAAGCACACACCAACTGTGTGGAAAGCGCAGCCGACGCATGGCCAATCAGACCCCCATCAGCCAGACCCCGCACTCACTCACACACACACACACACACACACACACACACAACATACTATGGTAGAGTACACATTCACACTCACACTTACTCCCCTCACTCACGCCAGTCCGGACCCACCCCACCCTCACCAGGCCTGCTTGCCAACACCCACCTTCTCAAAGGATCATCATCGCGACACATCTCCTAGTCTTCTTGGCGCAAGCTTAGTCGACTATTGTAATCCCTCCATACACCGTATCCCATGTCATGTGAACGAGCTACATACATACTTGCCTCCAACATCAAATCGTGGCACCATCACCAGAACCAGAACCTTGCAACAAAATATCCAAATATCCCAACTCTTGGCTTTCCACTCTATTTGGATCATCTCGAGTCTGACTCTCTACACATGCATTGTCTTGCTTGTCTCGTCTCGTCTCGTCGTCTCGTAGGTGTCGCTTAACTTATCAAGTCGCAGCACCAGCAGTGCGGGGCATACCTAAACGTTAGTCTACCTCGAACTCAATCGACCATCTGATTCATCATACCGCCATCTCCTCTTCCCCTCCCACCTCGCACCCCAGTCTCTTTGAGGGAAGATCATGCTACGCTCCAGGCCGCATCGGCTTGCTCATCACTACCAGAACCATGGGTCTCATGCCCCGACAAACAAGGTTTGGTAATCCAGCCCAACCAATCTGTCGTGAAAGAAAGTCAGCTTGTCCGTCCGAGACGACAGCGACCAGTCTACTAGGTACTGCATACCGACAGCTTAGCGGATCATGGAACCGGCCACTGAGAGGCTGCTATGACCGAATCGGTGTGTAACCGGTAAGGAAATCTCTGGAGTGATTGATCCCCCTCGTTTCACACTACCAAACAGCTGGATGGGCGTGTCCTTCGTATCATTCGACCCTCAGCTACAGAGCCCTGACCGTCACGCCAGCAGACATGTGCATCTGGAGAGATCCTTCTCAGATGACGGACAGTGTGGGTAGGTCGTACAATGCGATAAAGATGCACATGTTGTAGGTACCGTAGAAAGCTTACTTGCGGCCCGATTGGCACACTCGCGCCCGGATCCGCTTTCGTGCATTTCGGTTCCATTTCCGCAACTCGTCAGCCAAAAAACCCCAGCCTCGACGTGTTGGGCCCTGGCACTGACAGGAATGCGGGCAGTTGAATTGGCCGGGATTTATACCGTCTGCGACTCAGTTAGATTACTCTTGGACAATTCACTCGCCGTTGCTCCGTCCCGTGGCATGTGAATTATGCAATCAACACCACGCTGATCAGCATCCTGAGGAAAGAATTGATCAAACGGAAGAAAGGGTTTGCATAATAGTGTTATATACAAGGAGTGTAAGAAGTAAAGGCGATCTAAACGATAATGCAGACAACCTCCCAAACAAGTCGCTATCAAAACCAACACAGCAGCAAGGACAGAACCAAACCATAGGTCAAAACGAAGAAAAGAGAGGGAGTAGAAGCCATGCTAAAGGCTACAAATCGGGGGACCACTAGGTTAGACGGACCCGAGGGAAGCAAGGATTGTGTCCAATAGCTATAGTCGGCCTAGAGAAGGAGAAGAGAAGATACACAAAAACGAGTGAGCAGCAACAGGGAAGAAACAAAGCTGTAGCGGTCAAATGAATACGAGAAGGAGAGACAAGATTGACAACGCTGTGAAAGGAATGATAGGAAACCAGATACCACCGTCGCCAAAACAAAAACAGGAGAAAAGAAGGGAAAGGTCGGGGAACCCATGGGGGAAACATCCCACCAAAAAAAAGCTACATCCTGTCAATGAATGAGATCAAGATGGCATGCTTCTCTTGGACTGCCCTTCACGCACTTCAGACGCCGCTCTCTTCCGATTTTCAAACACTACTGTGCGGAAGGCACTGGTGTATTCCGGCGGCGTCTCAGGACAGGCCAACTTCTGCTCGATGCCTTGCAAAGTCTCCCAGTGGTTCCGAAGGACATCCTCTTGCGGCAAAGAAGCGAGCGCATCAATCACGAGCGGTGGCTCTCCAGTGGCAGAGGCACCAATCAGTGCAACAAACAGGTTGTTCTCAACTGGACTGGTCGGCGCCTCGATTCCCCATTGGGTATCCTCATAGGCGTTGCAGTTGCGGTCAGTCACACGGTCCAGTATCGTGACGAGCGCTGCGGCTGCTCTTACGGCCAGGTCTCTGGTCTCCAAACCCGAGTCGACTCGGTCTTGGTAGAATTCGTCGATGGCGTTGACGAGTGCCTTGAGCTTCGTAGCGCAACTGAGCACGTCGACATGCGGCGCATCGGCCGATGCATTGACTGGCCCGTTTGCTATGTATTCGTCCAGAGCATGAAAGTTCTGGTTGATGCGATCTTCCACCTTTTCAAAGAAGACGCGGCCTTGGAAGTCCGGATCGATGATCTTGCGCATCTGCAGGAAGAGGCCAGGGTCCCGCGACGCATATTGGGTAAAGAGATCGGTAACCTCCTGGTACTTCTTCGATCGTTCCGAAGTGAGGGGTGACTCGGGACATTTGAATTCTCCAGGAAGAGCATCCCGAGGTTCAAAGACAGACAACATCGTGGTGATTGCATCGTGCATCTCTTCATCGTCTTCTGGTAGGTCGTCCTCTTTGAATGCCCAGTCGAGATCGCTTGCAATGATGCCCAGGCCTTTGGCCTCGAGAACGTCTGCTGGCTTCACGTCGGCAATGGTAGATCCATCCTTGGACAGCTCCAATGGTTGCTCGTATAGCTGTTCCGGACTTGTTGAGGCCGAGATGATCTGATCACCAACCCAATATATGTGCTGCAGCTGGCTTAGTGGGTTGCCAAAGAACGGATGTGGCTGATAACTTACCTTGCAAGCCAGACCTTGCTCGTTGGAACCACATGTGCACCTTGGACTGCCCAGCTTCCCTCCCATCGCTACAGTTATGTCGTCGTCAATGTAAAAGTACTTGGTCGGGGTGCCGTCTGGGCTGCTCTCGTCGTCAGAGACGGCGCAGTATTTGATCCTGATATCATTGTCCTCAAGCCCTCGTTTGGCTCTTCTACGAAGATCCGTGTCAAAGGCGGACACATTGTACTGCAGATTGGTTGTCGAAATGACAAGAGAAGGCGTTGGAGAGACAGGGGAGGATGACTCGATTGAAGGAAGAGGATGGTCAGGGACAAGGTCCGGCAGAGTATGAAGGGACTGAGGACTGGCTTTGGCTGCCTTCTTAGCTCCGGCTCGAGTCGTGACCATGGTCTCCCCAAGTGAGAGCCGTGAGAACTGCTCTGATGACATGAAGATGTTGCGACTTGGGATGCTCCTTGACACTTCACGCCTGTCAAGGAAGCTATATATCAACCAACCTCTTCGGCTCCACGCCACGCCACACTCCTGGATGATCCATCAGGCATCGAAAATCGACCATCTTACAGAGGGCGCTTAGGGAATGGGCCTTCCGTGCCGTACAGTGTTGAGGCGTCTGAAGCGGATGTGGCTGTTCGGAGCTGAACCGACGGTGCATACGATGATATGCCCCAGTGCCGCAGGTGTGCCTAGCTGCCTGGAGCTAGTCCGAAGGATGACGACGGGTCGCGTGAAAGTCGCAAAGGTGCATATACACCCAACTTGCGTTAGATCTCTGAACGGGACATGAGGCACAGTCGCTGTTAATGTGCATTTAATCGGAATTACCCCCAATTGTGCACCAATGGTACCTGGCCGCTCGATCCTGGTGTTGGTGGGCCCCCAGTTTGTCGTGAAGCTGGGTTAAGCCTGAGTAGGCAATTAAGGGGCTTAGCATTATCCGCGTCCAGCAGATTAAGCTCCTTTACCGCCGTGGGCTGGGCGTATATGCCGCTAAATACCTGAGCAACCTATCGTCCGTTGCCTTGAGCGTCGAGTGGGAGTGATGCTGCAATGCGCCGCTCGCTATCACCGCAGCTGGGGCGAGGCTCGTGATGGAAAGGGCAGCCTGAAAGCTGGCTCATAACCCAAAACTAAACCCGACAGCATGGCCGCTGGGGCCCGGACGCGGCCGCTACAACAAGGTGCAAACTTGCAATGAAAATGTTCGACATACGGACAGAGTCTAATGAGCGACTTCCGAATGTCGTTGGTGTGGAAGTGTGGAACGTGAGCATGGTTCAACTCAGCCTCGTGGCGGCGTTCCCCGAGAGCATTGTAAGAACCCTGCAACCACCAGTCGTTAGCGAGCCCCCCTGGCAAAATATAAGGCTGACAGCTGAAAGAGGTGACTCTGAGATGGGGTCTCGTCTCGCGCAAGTTTCTACCAAACACCATCATCCATTCTGCGTGGCACCTGTCGAGCGCAGAAGGGGCATGTTTTTTTGACAGAAGCTGCCTTGGGCCTCTGTCTCAACGGCCATGCATACATGGCTCAAAAATGGATTGTGAAGCCAAGGGACCCCTCCTCCCCGGTCTTTTGCACTGCGCCCTCACTTGCGTCCAAGAATAACGGACCTGCAGAATGGTTGGAGAGAACGCGGTGGACCATTCTCTTCGTCATCGTTGATCCTCGCCGCCGCCGTGGCCCGGCTCGAAAATAGTCGTGCCTTAGCAATTCCCCAACCGTGCCGTTTGCAATGTCTCCCCCCCCTCCCTCTCTCCCTCTCTCTCTCTCTCCCTGGCACAGCACACATACGGCTCGAGTCGGTGCAAAACAGGGCATGTTTAGTTGAGATATCTGCCAGGTTTCGAAGCGATCTCTGAAGGATGCAGACGACTGTGACCCGTCCGCTTTCTTGCATCGTCCTCACGTCTGTCCGATCGGCCACTCATACGAGCCCGCTAACCGCCGAGATGCAAATCGAGCAGCACAAAATCGCAGGGCAAACAGCCCCCCAATTCAAAGAGCACGTGTGATTAGAAAGCCATGTTTTGTAAAATGCTGGCCAGAATTCGGCCGCGTTGTGTTTATATTGGGTTTCGTGGAGACCAACGGCTGAGCCGGAGGGTCCAGGATAGAGTGTTTGCAAGAGAAGACCAGCTTCTTTGCATCTGACAAGACATGAATTGCAAATACTCCGCCGCTCGTATGACTACGCTACTGTCTCACCATGTTGCCCGAGCATCCTGGTTGTAGGAAAAGTGTCTAAGATACTGCCACGCCGGAGAGCCTCTGGCAAACTGATGAGAGAGATCGAGACCGAGCCTGGACAAATGTTAGCTCAGGTTGATCCCTACACTCATCGCACCTACTCAGCCCTCACCTGCCTCCCGTGGCACCACCGTGCAATGAGTTGGCTTGCGAAGTTTGCTTGGAACCCAGCTCCTTCCTCTTGCCGGTTTCAATGATGTGCTTCATGTTGATCCCTCCCCATGGAAGCCCGGAGAGTGTCTCGTTTGATTGCATAGCTTCGGGCTCTGGAGACGTATACGAGCTTCCTGCGTTGCGTTGGTTTTCTGCTTGACGTTCGGATTCTTCCTTGTTTTCCTTGGTCTTGTCACCTATCCTTGCATTAGCAAGTTGATCGGGGGGGTTTGTTACATCAAGATGTAGTTCATACGATATCTTCGCTGAGCCAATTTGTTCTGTATCTTGCGTCGCTCGTTTGGGTCCATCACATTGGACCATTGATCCGCTTCATTCTTTGGAACCTTTCCTCCAATCCCCCTAAGGTCCCTTCCTGATGACTGCGTCTGCTGAGACATGATTCTTTAAAGGTTGAATGCACTGAGTGTCCAACTTAGTCCATGTGCATTATACAGTGAGACCCATGGGTTGAAGACTCTTTTGGATGCTCTGGAGGATATTGCGTACGTCTTGCGTGTTTCAAGTGACAGAGAGTCTCACTAAGTCGTCAAACGTCCGACAATGGCTTTGAGTTTCGGTGAACTTTTCGATCCAATGCTCTATCAACTCTCTCCGTGTTGATAGCCAGTGCTTACTTGAGTGGATAGGAAATATTGAAGAGAGACCAAGAGAAGTAAATGAAGATAGGAACACCAAAGAGCAGCACAACATGCAATTGATAAGCTATTCGCACCGCGTGAAGACATATACAAATTTTCGTAGCAGCCTAATTCCAGTCGAAAAGAGCAAAGCTTGTACCAGGACTGTGATGAGAGACTGAGTACTCTATGCATGGCCGATCCTTTTGGCCGAATGTCTAGTCAACGCAGTGGGATCTTTCAAAGTCTGATCGTCGTAGGTCGAACTGAGACGCAGGTGGACAACGGCCGAGACCGAGGAGAGATAGGCACCACTTGGAATGCCGGTGTTTCCGAAGTCTTGTAGAATAAGGATGCTATATTAGGAAGACATGATGCTAATTCAAAAGAACATCATCGGCGTTTCCGTATGCCGAATTACAATGTAGACCTCTGGCGTTCATTTCAACAGATTCTAAGGCAGCAGGAAAGAACCATGGTCAAAAGCATACAGGGAGCCATGCACTAGTGACAGGCCCATGAGTGGACGCCATGCTCCAAGAGCATACATTACCATGTGTAGTACCTGCGTGCATCGCTACCATTTGATCGGTGTTATGATTTCGGAAAGGCCGCACAAGATTAGCCTTACCATTGGGCTAAGGCGGAAGATGATCGATGAAAGCATCTTGGCAGCGGCTTCGTATGTCCCAGTCGTACCCGTGGACAGGGGCGGTATCGACGCCGTTGGATTTGGATGACTGCGAGTGATGATGCTCGCTGATTGAGTGTAAAGACTAAGAGAAATTACTGTACTTCGCCTACAAGTGTCAGTCCCATGCAAAGCACTGCAGATGGAGGATATGATGCGGTCATGCGTATGAACACAGGGGTTTTGGTAGTTAGTCGCGATCACCACGATGTCTGCCTTGGGTGGTAGCCAGGGCGCGAAATAGAGAAAAGACTGACGGCATGGGCCGGTTTGGGCTATCGTGTGTCCAGACGGCGAGAGAGGTGCAGGTTTGATGCAGTGCGGAGTCTGAGGAAGAAGCATTGGAGTTGCGGTCTCGAAATCGCATCCTAGTCCCAAAGAGGGGCACGGCAAGTAGCGTTGAGTGGTTTGATAGGCGCAGCCACATTGCAGCCACAAGTTCATTGGCTTGGGTCAAGTGGCTGTGCAAATACCAGTGAACACTTGACCGCCAAAACATGTTCGCTCTACTTGCGTCAAGGGTAGCCCTAGACATCAACATGACGTCCGTGTCTTTTGGGACAGATGAGGGGAAAAAAAGCACGTCTCCAGACAGTCTAGATATGGCTTCTGGCGTCTTTCACCCCCCAAGTCAAGATCAGGGCCCAAACTTGACGCCAGTGACGCGTCGAGCTACGTACAGCTTACAGCACAGGTAACCGCTAGTCGAAGTATCGTCGAAGAAGAGACAGGTTAGCCGTGGTGTGGAGAGTCGAGCAAAGGGCTACTCTACGATGCAGATGGTTCACAATGCTGTAGGTGCCCATTCCAGCGTCCCTCTTCTCACGAGACGCGAAGCTCTCTCCAACGTGGGTGCATGTTTGTCATAAAAATAGTCCTACACATCTAAAGGATGGCAATGAGTAGGGTGGAGTAGACACGGTCCTGCTAAAAACCTATTTCAATCTGCCACTAGAAGGAATGTTGCATTCGAGGCCATGGAGAGCTGAACCAAGAAGCAGGCAATCGTGGGGGGGGAAGCACATACAAACAACAGGCTGCTCCGAACGGACATCTCCCGAGAAACGACATGCATGGATCGTTTCGTGGTGGGGAGAGTGTGGCAGAAACAGTTGTTGCAGGTGGTCTTCTTGTTGTTGTGATGAAGACGGAGCTGAAGAAAGAGGACAGCGACTGGTTTTGTGGCCGGAAGAAAATTGGCTTGTCGCGCTCGGACCTCGCGGCCCCCGCCTTTGTCAGCAAGCCTTGGCGATGGACGCGGTGAAAACCCAGCAGAGCCTGCCGTCGACTTTTCTTCTCTACACACAATCATAACAAATGGACGATTAATCAACGGCCACAACGGGCAATCTACCTTGTGGTTGTCATATTTGCGTCTTAGAGTAACTCATTGGCACTTTTAGGCTTTTTGCTTCGACTTCCATGTTGCTTGAAGCCACCTGCGTGACCGCACATTTCTTTGTTGTCGTGGAATTGCGGCTCTTCTCATCACGGATCACGGTATGATGATGGCTGCTACCAGACCTTGGGCTGCAGCACTGTTGACGTTGATGTTGAATGGGGTGTCGCGTGTTTGAACGGCCTTGCGTAGCCAAACCATGCCGTGTCTTGGAAGTTTCTGCCTGTACCCTCCTCTTGACTTGCAAAAGAGCAGGCCGTCCGATGGATTGATTCGGCGGCTTTTTACCTTTGGGCACAACACAACAACAGCGGCGGCTGTGGCCTTTGGGCTCCGCCAGCAGCAAACTGCGAAACTGTCGACTGGCTACGCAGTACATAGACAGACAAACACTGCACTGGTCGAGAGGGGAAAGCCAGGTCGGGTTCCTTTGCCAGCAAACGCAGATAGCTACCTAGGTACTGCCGGACAGGGGCGGAGCTTTTTACCATGCATAGACAAAATCGGATTAGAGTTCTGGAGCTTGAGCCTTGCGGGATGCCATGTGTTGCAGTGGAACCGCCCACGGGACACATTACTCGTCATCGCGTCCGGACCAAGGACCAAAGGGACCCTTCAAGTCTCCTTTCCATGTGCATACATACTTCTCTCGATCATATCATGGCAACATTCTTCCTCCGTTAATTGGCGCCACACCACCAGGCCACTATCCGCCGTTCCCTAAGCCATCCATACCCTGCCCCCCTCCCCTTCGTGCACGTTCTCGCTGCTCCCCAACAGTCATCCCCCCCGTGCGACGACCCGTCCAACGTTGGGAAGACCATGGCGTCGGCGCTGAACAAACGTCAGCAGGCGCGCAATGAGCGCACCTTGCAGGACCTCATTAAGAGTGTACCTGGGAATGGCACGTGTGCCGACTGCGGCACTAGAAATCCAGGCATGTTCTGCGCGAAAACCCCCTCTTCCCCCCTCGCCTGCCCTCTCCCCTTCCCCCTCCCGTGCTTACATCGTAATACTAACAGCGCTATACAGGATGGGCAAGTTGGAGTGTAGGTAACCCCCGATTGTCAACGCTCATGACCATCCGCCTCTCCCCTCCAAACGCCCCAACTCGCGACCGTGAAACTGACGCCAGCTCTAGTTGGGCATCTTCCTGTGCATGCGATGCGCCGCGCTACACCGCAAACTCGGAACACACATCTCCAAGGTCAAATCCTTGAGCATGGACAAGTGGGACAATGCGCAAGTCGAAGTAGGGAGTCTCTTCAAACACGGCATCTGATTCGCGAGTTGACAAATGTCTAGAACATGAAGCGTATCGGGAACGTCGAGTCGAACAAGACATACAACCCACGCAACGTCAAGCCACAAATACCCATTGACATTGATGAAGTGGACAGCGCCATGGAACGCTACATACGCCAAAAGTACGAACAGCGCATATACATGAACAATGTGCGACTGGGTGGGCAACAGAACACTGGCAGTACCAGCTCTGAGGACAGGCCGCCGCCGTTACCCCCAAAGCCGACAGGTCGTTTTGGATTTGGATTGCGGAAAGCTGCCACATCTCGAGATCTTACGCCGCCCGTCTCACCTGGTATCGGAGGCTTCGATCACGACATGTCACCACCGCGCGTCAACAAGCCGTCTAGAGTATTTGGTTCCAACGTCCAAACATCAGGAGATGGACTGGATTCGAAATTGACTACCCTACGGGACATGGGGTTTCCGGATGACAAACGGAATGCCACGGTACTGAAGGGACTCAATGGCAATTTGGACCGAACTGTAGAGGCTTTGATTAGGTTGGGCGAGCAGAACCCTGACAGATCGAGGGGAAGTACTCCCACGCCGCCCAGCAAACCCGTTTCGAACGGGCTGAGCTTCGAACGCACTAGCACAGCGCCTGCTGCCATCTCGACGAATCCATTTGATGCGCTTGACGCCTCCGTTGCGCAACAAAAGCCGCAGGCTGCACCAATCCAGACCCAGCAAGCAACCTATGACAACCCATCTGTACAGCCAACCTCATCATCTAATTCTTATAATCCATTTCTACAGCAAGCCATGCAAGCGCCCTCCCAGCAACAAATTTATCCTCAGCAACAGCAGCAGCCACAGAATCCTTACCAACAGAACCCTTGGAGTCAACAACAGCAAAGCCTCGAACAATCGTTCCAGGGCATGCAGCTGTCAAATCAGCAGTAAAAGTATCAGGTATCAGCAATATCTCAAGGAGA